AAGGAGAAGCCAAAGGAGTTCGATGAGAAAGTAAGAGATCCTACTCGAGTCGTGAAATGTTATGGAGGAGATTTTATTTCCCCACTCTCTCTGAATGCAATCAAAGACGCCATACAAGCCAAGGATATGGATATTGTGTGTTCTGAGTTATTGGAAATAATTAAGCTCATCGATGCAATAATTGTTGTGGATCAGATACCCTATAATAGCTATTAAAGAATAAATGACAAAATAAAGAACACCAGAAATTTAACGAAGTTCAGCCAATAATGCCTACGTCCTCGGACACTACCAAATTATATTTCACTAAGAATTACTACAAAGTGAAATATTACAATAGAGGGAGAAAGAAAGAAATTGCCTTAGAAGATGAATAGACAATTGCTGGGATGGATCCTAATGAAGAGCCAAGGCCCTTATTTATAATTAGGAAAAGCCTTCAACTCTTCCTAAACTACCGATGTGGGACGAGACACTCTTCCTAAACTACCGATGTGGGACGAGGCACACTTTGGTCAACAAATCTCCACCTTGACGAGTACTCACATCTTCAAATCCAAATCCCTCACAAACAATAGTTGATAGTGTCTCCAAATTTCATTTTCAAACGTTGACAATGTTGATCAGGTCCAAAGAAAATTTGAACTTGATCGCAGCCATAACTTTTGTCAACATATCAGCAGGATTCTCAACAGTTCGAATCTTCTGGATTTTGACTCCACCTTCTTCCAAAATTTCTTGCACAAAATGATATCGAACATCAATATGCTTCGTCCTTGCATGATAAACTTGGTTCTTCGCCAAGTGAATAGCACTCTAACTATCACAATGCACATTGACATATTTTTGATCAATTCCAAGTTCACCAAGCAATCCTTGAAGCCAAATTGCTTCCTTTACAGCTTCTGTGATTGCCATATACTCTGCTTCTGTAGTAGATAAAGCAACCGTTGACTGTAAGGTAGACTTTCAACTGACTGGTGCTTTTGCGAGTGTAAATATATAACCAGTAGTTGATCTACGTTTATCCAGATCACCAGCATAATCTGAATCACAAAAACCAACTACGTGCTGACTGTCATCCTGCTCAAATATCAAACCAACATCCACAGTACTTTGGATGTATCGTAGAATCCATTTCACCGCTTGCCAATGCTCCTTACCTGGATCATGCATATACCTGCTCACAACTCCAACTGCTTGTGAAATGTCAGGCCTTGTACATACCATAGCATACATCAAGCTACCAACAGCATTTGCATATGGTACTTTTCACATGTTTTCCCGTTCTGTATTATTCTTTGGCGACATAGAGGCACTTAACTTGAAATGAGGAGCAAGAGGAGTACTAACTGGTTTTGACTTTTCATTCATGCCAAAACCCTTTAGCATCTTTCTCAGGTATTGTTTCTGAGTCAAATATAATCTCCTCATTTTCCTGTCTCTGCTTATCTCCATACCAAGAATCTTCTTTGCTTCTCCTAGATCTTTCATTTCGAATTCATTCCTCAATTGAGTCTTCAGTTTCTCAATTTCTGCCTGACTCTTGGAAGCGATTAGCATATCATCGACATAAAGTAGAAGATAAATGAAGGATCCATCTTATAGCTTACGCAAATACACACAATGATCATATTTGCTTCTTATATAGTTCTGGCCTATCATGAACTTGTCAAATCGCTTGTACCACTGCCTCGGAGATTGCTTCAATCCGTACAATGATTTTTCAAGTTTGCACACCAAATTTTCTTTTCCAGCAACTTTGAATCCTTTTGGCTGAATCATATAGATCTCCTCTTCTAAATCTCCATGTAAAAATGCAGTTTTTACATCTAATTGGACCAGCTCTAAATCCAATTGTGCTACCAAAGCCAATAAAATGCGAATGGAGGAATGTTTAATAACTGGAGAAAATACCTCATTATAATCAACTCCCTCCTTCTGAGCATAGCCTTTAGCTACCAATCTTGCTTTGTAACGAACATCATTTTGGCCAGGAGATCCTTCTTTCTTTGCATAGACCCATTTGCATCCGATTGCCTTCTTTCCCTTCGGAAGACTGGTTAGCCTCCATGTTTGATTCTTATGAAGGGAATGTACTTCATCATCCATTGCAATCCTCCACTTTTCTTTATCCGAACTTTGAACTGCTTCATTGAAAGTGGTAGGAATATCATTATTTATGGTTGGGGATGCATAGGCCACCATATCAGCAAAACAAGCAGGTTTTCTGATTGTCCTTTTTGGCCTACTGGTTGCAATTGATTCATGTTGCTGTGGAAGTTCTTCAATTTGAACCTCCTCTTCATTAGATTCTCCCTCTGCCATGGGAGAATCAACATTTTCTTCATTTGCTGGAACATTTGCTGGAACTATAGCTCTTTCAAACTCCACCTGCTTGGGAATGCTATCTGATTGCTCAATATCCACACTTTTCAACATCGTGGATTCATCAAATTTAACATCCCTGCTGAAGATTATTTTCTTTGTCTCTAGACACCAAAGACGATAGCCTTTTATGCCAGAAGTGATCCCAAGAAACACTGCTTTCTTTGCCCTTGGATCCAACTTTGATTCCTTAACATGGTAGTAAGCAACACAACCAAACACATGTAAAGAATCATAATCAGTGGCAGGCTTACCAGACCATCTCTCCAATGGTGTTTTGCCTCCAATAGCAGTAGACGGCAATTGATTGATGAGATGGCATGCATATGTTACAGCTTCAGCCCAAAATTCTCTACCCAATCCAGCATTGGATAACATACATCAAACTTTCTCCAGCAACGTTCGATTCATGCGTTCTGCCACTCCATTTTGTTGTGGAGTCGATCTGACTGTGAAGTGTCTGACAATGCCTTCACCTTCACAAATCCTTTTAAATGGATCACTTTTATATTCTCCACCATTATCGGTACGGAGACATTTGATCCTTCTTCCAGTCTGAGTTTTCATCATCTTTTTCCACTTGATGAATATTCCTAGCACTTCATCCTTTGTCTTCATTGTGTATACCCAAACTCTCCGAGAATAGTCATCTACAAAGGATACATAATAGTGCTTCCCTCCTAAAGAACTTGTTTTAGAAGGGCCCAGACATCAGTGTGAACATAATCCAAGATACATTCAGTATTGTGGATTGCTGTTCCAAATTTTACCCTTGTCTGCTTCCCTTTGACGCAGTGCTCACAGAAATCCAGTTTACAGGTTTTTATACCTTTCAATAATCCTTGATTTATGAGCAATCTCAAGGATTTATCACCAGCATGTCCTAAGCGCATATGCCATAATCTGGTTACTTTCAATTCTCGATCATCACTGGGAGCCACTGCTGCTACTCCAACAACTGCATTACCTTGATAGTAATACAAGTTATTATTTTTCCAGATTCCTTTCACCAGCACCAATGCACCTGAAATGATTTTCATCACTCTATTATGTGCCGACACCTTGTAGCCCATTGATTCTAGTACTCCCACAGAGATGAGGTTCTTTTTCAATGTTGGCACATATCGGACATCAGTTAGAATCCTAATTGATCCATCCTGATTCCTCAACCGAATTGAACCAACCCCATTTGTTGCTAATACGGTCTCATCTGCCGTGTAGACGACTCCACCTTCTTGTTCCTTGAAATCAAAGAACCATTCCCTAGTGGACGTCATATGATGACTACAACTTGAGTCCAATAGCCATGTACTAGAATGACCAGTAGGCATGACAGCTAATAAAAAATCTGAGTCTTGATCAATGCACTCAGCTACGTTTGAATCCGCAACAGCTTTTTCCTTGTCAGGTCTACCCTTCAGTTTTGGGCAGTCCTTCTTCCAATGCCCTTTCTCTCTACAAAAGGCACACTCATCTTTGCTTAGTCTAGCTCTCGACTTGGATCTATCTCTCGTCCCCTTTCTCTAGTTTTGTGAGCGTCCTCTAGCTACCAGAGCTTCTGCTGCCCCATTTCTGCTACTTTGCTTTTCTTTTCTTCTAAGCTCATAGCTGTACAGAGCAGAGCTAACTTCATTGAGGGACACCTCAGCTTTCCCATGGAGTAGAGTTGTTTCAAGATGCTCAAACTCCTCAGGAAGAGATCCCAACAACATGAGAGCCAAATCTTCGTCTCCAAATGTCACATCTAAATTCATCAGATCAGTGATTAACTGATTGAAATTAGTGATGTGATCACTTAGAGTTGTGCCAGGAACATAAGTGAAGTGAAATAAACGCTTCTTCATATTGAGCCTGTTCTGACAATTTTTCTTCAAGAACTTCTCCTCCAATCCAGTCCATAATTTATTTGCAGAGGTTTCCTTTGAAAAAGCATACCTCTGCTCTCTTGAAAGGCACGTTCGAATTGCACCACATGCTAATCGATTGATAGTCTTCCAATCTTTCTCCTCAACATCATCTGGTTTCTGTTCTTCAATAGCAATGTCTAGACCTTGTTGGAAGAGAGCGTCTAGAATCTCACTTTGCCACATGCCGAAGTCACCAGTGCCATCGAAAGTCTCCACTGCCAGTCTCGTATTTGTGACGGCAGTTCTTGCCCAGATAGGTGATGAAACTGCTGTCGAGGTGGACGTCGATGCTTTTGCACTATCTTCCATTTCGGCTACAACTAGTCTTCAATAGCAACAATAAGTAGGCCCCACAAGATGAAGGGATCCCACAGGCTGACCCCACAGGTAGGCCCCACGGATGGACCAGAGTTCAAGGATATCTTTTCTGATGTGAAAGATCAGTTATAACTGCGACCACAGAGCATACTCAGAATAACCTCAGGCTCTTATACCACTTGTTGTGGATCAGATACCCTATAATAGCTATTAAAGAATAAATGACAAAATAAAGAACACCAGAAATTTAACGAGGTTCGGCCAATAATGCCTACGTCCTCGGACACTACCAAATTATATTTCACTAAGAATGACTACAAAGTGAAATATTACAATAGAGGGAGAAAGAAAGAAATTGCCTTAGAAGATGAATAGACAATTGCTGGGATGGATCCTAATGAAGAGCCAAGGCCCTTATTTATAGTTAGGAAAAGCCTTCAACTCTTCCTAAACTACCGATGTGGGACGAGGCACTCTTCCAAAACTACCGATGTGGGACGAGGCACACTTCGGTCAACAGTAATCACAGAGAAGTGTCCAGAATCATCATCATTCAATTTTCCTAAGACCAATGGACTGGGCTTTGTTGATTCCCTTCTAGAAAAGATGATGGATGTGACAAGTTCTGAGGCTGGTTCGATTGCTTTGATCGATCATCCAATTCAAAAAGTCCAGGAAGAACTTGTTTGTTTACGCTCTTTGCTGAGGAAAATTGTGGAGCTGCACAATGAAGACGAGGAGGTCCAGGCAATTTGGGATCGTATTGTTGGGGTGGCATATAGGATAGAGTTTCTTATTGACTCCTTAATAACTGGAAATATCTTTGATTCTTCTTCAATGTCCATTCATTCCATTTTAGAAGAAATGAACATCATTAAAGCTGCGGCCTTGAAGATTTGTGGTAGCGCAAGACTTGGTGGAGAAGTAAAGGAACTAACGAAGAGATTCAATCACATGCCACAACAAGGAAGTAAGCCAATAGTCAATGATGTGGTGGTGGGATTCGAGGATGAGATGGCATCGATAATCAATGGACTCAGAAATGGATCACGCCAAGTGAAAATTGTTTCCATTGTGGGTATGCCGGGATGCGGTAAGACAACTTTGGCTAGAAAAGTGTACAATGATTCTTCAGTGAAGTCCCATTTTTATGAGCGTGCTTGGTGTACTGTTTCTCAAATATATGACAAGAGAAATCTGTTGCTTCAAATTTTGAGTTGTATTGAGTCCAAGCTTCCTGAGTATGTTTTTAAGATGGGTGAAGAAGATCTGGCTCTTAAAGTCAAAAGACGTTTGCTGAAAAACAGATATCTCATTGTTTTGGACGATTAATGGGACATTGATGCATGGAACGGATTGGAAGCCTCATTCCCTGATGATGGAAATGGAAGTAGAGTAATCTTGACGAGTCGGCTCCGTGGTGTTGCTCCGCAAGACAAACTCGACCATGAACCATATTCTCTTCGTCAACTCGCTCCTAATGAGAGCTGGGATTTGCTAAAAGGGAAGTTATATCCTGGACAAGATTTGGCTCCTCCAGAACTATGTGAAATTCGACAGCAAGTAGTGGAAATGTGTCAAGGACTACCTCTTACGGTTGTCATTCTTGCCGGAATTCTCTCAAGGATGGACCCAAATGGTTGGAAAGAAGCTGTGGAAGGTTTATGTTCAAGGAATGTTTCTAGTACGGAACAGTGTACCGCTACACTAGAGCTGAGTTTCAAACATTTACCTGATACTTTGAAGGCGTGTTTTCTTTATTTTGGAGCCTTTCCAGAAGACCATGAGCACAATACCAAGAGGTTGATTTCTCTATGGGTCGCTGAAGGATTTGTTCAAAAAACTCAGCTCAAGAGAACAGAGGATGTGGCAAATGGTTACCTGATGGAACTTATTAGCAGAAGCTTAGTCATAGTTTCGAAACCAAGATCCATTGATGGGGTCAAAGCTTGTCGCATTCACGATTTGTTATATGAGTTTTGTGTGACAAAAGCCAAAGAAGAAAAGCATTTGCAGCTGGTACGTAGGAATGATGACTTATCTGCTTTCACCATGCCATGCTACCTACGCCGCTTATGCATTGATTCTTAGGTCGAGCACTTAGACAACTTGAGGTTATTTTCTCCTGCCATACGCAGTCTATTATTATTCAGTCACGATGAAGACAGTAGAAGTTGTTTTGACCTTCGATTCATTTTTCACATCATAAAACTTGTCAAAGTGTTAGATTTGAGCCAAATTAAACTAGGAGGCATCTTTCCTAGAGAACTAGAACTGCTTGTTCACTTGAGGTACTTGGCAATTCTAGGTAATGGCAGTCCCGTCCCAGCATCAATAAGTTATCTCACGAACTTGGAAACTTTGATTTGGCGAAATTCTAGGAGTCATGGTTCAGTTTCATTGCCAGATACTATATGGAATCTGAAGAAATTAAGGCATTTACAACTAATGGACGAGGCCGATAAGAATTATCATTTTAGATTCCCTGAGAACAACCTTGACAACTCTTCACAGTTGTGTGACTTAGATATCTTGTCCTGTCTAAGCCTCAATCCTCGGAAGAACATCAACAAGTTGTTGAGAAAGTTTCCAAATATCCGCAAGCTGAGAAGCTCTCTTAATCTCGATCAGGGCTGTGAATATCATGTAGCAGTGGGCTGTCTAAGTCATTTGGAATCACTCAGTCTGAGTTGCGTTGTTTACGGCGGTGACCGATATCAATTAGATTTCCAATTTCCTTTGACTATTAAAAAATTGACCCTATCTTATTTTCGCTTACCATGGAGCAAAATGGCTGCAATTGGAAATCTACCCAATCTTGAGGTGCTCAAATTACTCGAAGAAGCCTTTGAGGGGGAAATATGGGAAATGGAAGTAGAGAAGTTCCCTAAAGTTCGTTTCTTGAAATTAGCTTCCTTGAACATTGCGAAGTGGACAGCCTCCTCCGAGTATGAGTACGAGGAGCAGGACTATTTTCCTTGTCTCCAGAAGCTAGTATTGGATGGCTGTGGAGCTTTGCAGGAGATCCCTTCTTGTTTGGGAAATAGTTCTGCCCTTGAAATAATTGAGGTGTCAAAATGTCCCAACTGTACCAGTTCATTGGAGGAAATTCAGGAAGAGCAAAGAAGCAATGGATATACCGATCTGAAGATCCGTATCTCATAATGGACGATTGATCTTCTCAAGTAAGTTTTTTAAGTCCTTTACTTATGTACTGTTACAGGTTATGTGTATCTATTTAGCATCAAGATCAAGTTGTTCTTTTTCTTTTTCTTAATTAGTGTTGGAAGGCTGCAAATTTTTGGAGGAGATCCCTTCTTGTTTGGATAATATATCAACTCCTGAAATAATTGAGGTGTCTAAATGTCCCAACTCTAATAGTTCAGGGGAGCAAATTCAGGAAGAGCAATTAAGCAGGGGAAATACCGATACGAAGATCCTTATTTCACAATGGATGACTGATCTTTTCAAGTGTGTTTGGTTTGGTTATCTGTATCAGTTTGGCATCAAGATCAAGTTGTTCTTTTTTCCAATTAGTATTGGAAGGCTGCAAATTTTTGGATGAGATCCCTTCTTGTTTGGGAAATAGTTCAACTCTTGAAATAATTGAGATGTCTAAATGTCCCAACTCTACAAGTTACAGTTAATGCAAATTCAGGAAGAGCCAATAAGCATGGGATATACTGATATGAAGATCCTTATTTCATAATGGACGACCGATATTCTCAAGTATGTTTGGTTTGGGCAGCCACTTCATTGTACATCTCTTTTCTTTGACAATCCATTACTTCTGCACTACTAGTGGTCTCGTTATATCTGTTCAGCATCAAGATCAGGTCTTTTTTTTTTTTTTTGTCGAAACGATAAGATGATTTCATTGCTTTAAAAGTAAACCAATTACAAGTACGAGCAACGGCTCGATCGGACTCTACACACTAGTGTTCAAAGACACTGAGGAAGCTGTCGCTCCTCATCCACAATAATGCTTAAAGCATCAACACTCATTTTTTTGCTAACTATCATATCTTCTTCCCTATTCAATCCAAAAGAGCACATGCGAAACAATCTCTGTAGCTGAGATATGTCTTCAAGTACTGTTGCCAATCTGCTGTTCGCTGGGCTCTGGTGTTTCAGTTGTCTCCACAGTTCTTTGTTACCAAAACTCAGCTTAATATTGCTCCACTTGCGCTGCACAGCTTTACACAGCACTAGTTTCAGCGCCAAAGCTTCATCTAGGAGTTTGTTTCCAGAACTGATGTCTTTCATTGCCCACCCTATCGTCGTATCACTTGCAAAAACTTTAACTTTGACTCCAATTCCCATGAATAGCTGCCCTTGTTTCATGGTTGTAGCCACCTCCATTAGCACTTCTCCTTCATTTACATAACTCTGATCCTGAGTTTCTTGTCTAGGGGCTGTTTCTTCTGTGCTCTCTCCTTCCCCCTTGTACTCCAACTGCTGCTGCTCTAACCAACCAGAATGCGCTTTCCTTATAGCTTTGAAGGGAGTATCAGCGGTAGTGTTCTCGAATTCTCTTTTGTTTCTATCTTTCCACACCTGCCACAGGATATTCGCAGTTAAACCAATGTGATCCATCCCTTCTGTCCTGTGCCTTGCTTCTGAGATTCTTAGCCACCACCTTTTGAAATCTCCCTGCTGCTCCTTTGCTCCGTCCCATTGAATGGGAGAGGCCTTCCATATGTTTTCCGTGTGGGGGCAATTCAGCAGAAGATGTTCAACTGTTTCCTGTGCTGTTCCACACATCTTACATATCGGATCCCCCACCCCCGTTCTTCTATACACTGCTGCTTTCACAGGCAGAGCACCTTGAATACATTTCCAAACGAAAAACTTGATTTTGTGTTTGATGTTTAATCTCCAAAGTGTATTCCACATCTGAGCTAAATGCGAATCACTTACTATATAGCTAGAGCTAGCTTCTCCCTGATTGCACCTATCCCTCTTTCTGTGTTGCTTCATCAGAAACTTATACCCAGAATTGACAGTGTACATCCCTCCCTCCTTTGGTTGCCAGTAAAAGCTATCCTCCCTGTCAGCCAGGCTTAGAGGAATAGCTAAGATTTTCTGAGCATCACTTCTATTGAAGTATCTGAATATAATATTTCTGTTCCACCTATGCTGACTGATAAGCTCCTCCACCTTTTCCAGCTCACAATGAATTCCTCGACTAGTAGTTGGCTTCCCTGTCTCAGAGTCTGGGATCCACTTGTGTCTCCAAATATTTGTACTCCTTCCATTTCCTATCCTTCTGATCATACCAGCAGTGATTAAACTTCTAGCCCCCATAAGTCCTTGCCAAATCCATGATGCATTTTTGGCGAGATTGCACTGCAGAATGGGTTCCTGTGGAGAATATCTGGATTTCAACACCTTACTAACCAACAGATTTGGTTTAGTAAGTATCCTCCAAACTTGTTTTCCTAACAGCGCTTGATTGAAAGCTTCAACATCCTTAAATCCTAATCCTCCTGCACTTTTAGCCCTTGCCAATCTTTCCCAAGACAACCAGTGCATTTTGTTCTTGCCATTAGCTTCACCCCACCAAAAATTGGCCATCAAAGCACAGATATCTTTGCACAGCCTTCTGGACAACTTGAAACTAGACATCACGTATGTAGGCATTGCCATTACCACAGCTTTCAGAAGCACTTCCTTACCTGCTGGACTCAGAAGTTTGTTCTTCCAATTCTGGCATCTTTTCCTTATATTGTCCCTCACAAAACCAAAGATCTGCTCTTTAGACCTTGAAACTACCATTGGAAGCCCCAGGTATTTGCCTTGTTTAGCCTCTACCATTCCTCCTAAAGTCAGGCATACCTCCTTCTTCAGCTCATCATCCATATTTTTGCTAAAGAAAACTGCTGATTTGTCTAGGTTGACTAATTGCCCCGAGGCCTTTTCATATGTTTTCAACACCTTCATGATTTCCACGGCCTCATTCTTGTTAGCCTTGCAAAAAATGATAGAATCATCCGCAAAAAACAAATGTGTTAACACTGGGCCATTTCTGCTGATTTTGAGCCCCTGGATTCTTTTACTTTCCTCCGCCCTTTTTAGCAAGTTTGAGAAGCCCTCTGAGCAGATAAGAAACAGATATGGAGACAAGGGATCTCCCTGTCTTATCCCTCTTTCTGGTGTCACAAAGCCTTTGATCTCTCCGTTACAGTTGAAGGAGTAGCTCACTGTCTTCAAACAACTATGGATCCAGTTTATCCATTTAGAGCAGAAGCCCATCTTTTCCATCATATCCATCAAGCATTGCCACTCCACCCTATCATAAGCCTTTGCCATGTCCAGTTTGATAGCCATGTAGCCCTCTTTCCCTTGTCTTTTATTTTTAAGAAAATGCATGTACTCATGAGCTATGATCACATTATCTAAAATCTGTCTTTCAGGTATGAAGGCAGATTGAGTTTTGCTAATGCACAGATCCAGAACAGACTTCAGTCTATTAGCCAAGATTTTTGATATGATTTTATAGAGCACACTACATAGACTGATAGGCCTGAAATTTTTCAGATTGGTTGGGTGCAGAATTTTGGGGATAAGGGATATCACCGTATGGTTAACTGATTTGAGCATGTGACCTGAGTGAAAAAAAGCTTTAATAGCTGGAATGATGTCACTTTTAATGAAATTCCAAAATTTCTGAAAAAACAAAGGTGACATTCCATCTTGTCCAGGAGCTTTTTCTGGGTTCATAGAGAACAAAGCCTCACGGATTTCATCCTCCATTACTTCCTTGGTTAGCTTAGCATTCATCTCCTGAGTAATATAGTGAGGAATCCCCTCTAGAATTTCTGTCGTTTCCCCCTTCCCTCCACTCATAAACAGGTCCTTAAAGTACTCAGAAAGTTCAGTCACTACCTCCTCTTCATTAGCTGTCCAAGATCCGTCCTCTCTTTGTAACCTGTTCAATCTATTACTGACTCGCCTCCCCTTGACTGAGGATGAATCTCAAATAAGAGTCACAGAATGTTTTGCACCTATTTGAAGGTAATACTGCTTAGTTGCATATCAACTACTGTTTTGTTCAATCTATAGATTCAATTAAATGTGTTCGTCGAGTAGAATAATGCCATTGACATCCCATATTTTCTAGAATTCAACAATTTATTCGTTCTTTTCCATAATCTTCGATTACAATTTCTGATCTTTCTGACTCCAAGTAGAACTTTATTAAACCATATAATCAATCAGGTATAAAATCAAGCACTCAGCATATTAATACCTGTTATGTATAGCAGTTTACTGGAATCCATTTCTTGATCCAATTATAATTGTTTTATAGATCAGGCAAAAACTGACCTCTTCCCCCATTCAAAATTTGAAATAAGTCTTAGAAGAAAACCTATAAAGATTTCAGGTTTGCAGGCACAATCATTAAATCAATATTATACTACATTTTGAAATTTCAGGGATATTGATGTGCAGGCTAAAGTAAAAGCTCGTCTTTGTCTGAGCATTCAATGCATTTCTTCGGCCAAAAAAAAAAAAAAAAACCAATTCAAGATAGGACTTAACAAAATTGGAATGGATTGCGCCAAAAAAATAAAAAATGGAAGGGATTAGAGCAGATCAGTTCAAGAAAGGCTTCAGCATAACAAGAAAGGGATCACCCAGACAACTTCCAAATCAAAATAAAACTTAATAAGGAAGGACATGGGCCTTTTAATAGTAGCATCATGTAATGTGACTTGAAGTAATTTTTTAGCTTCCGGTTGATTCACTCTCCCTCCTTACGGATCTAAATACCATGTGGAAGGCAAGTTTTTAAAAGTAATACTCTGATTTTTTTTTTAAAAATTTGTTTACCCTCCCACCCTTTCCCACATCCATCTCACTCGTAATTAAGAAGCATATGATTCAAACATTGAACTTGACAACTAAGAAGATTCTAATAGCCATTCTCTAACCATTGGTCTAACACAGTGGTTAGTAATACTCTGATTACTCAACCAAGTTTATGAACTTATTTATCTTTCTTCGTTTGAAGTACAATTATGCACCATTTTGGGGGGGGGGGGGGGAAGGTTATGGTAGGTAACAGGATAACTTCTAATATTCAGCACATATTAAATTGATCGTTGTACAAAATGAAGGAAGAAACCCAAGATAAGAAAATTTCTCTTCTTTTTAACCCCTCTTTATATCTTTTCCACTCTCAATTATTAGCTTCACGATTCGAATCTTAAATCTAACATTGAGAAAATCCACGTTAAGAGAGCTAATTGTTTTGTTGTACAATTAGATCATTAGATCATATAGGTAAAGAATTAAGAAACCCAGCATTTTAATACTTTGTTGCATTGCTGTTTAGCTGGCTGGATCCATTTCCTGATCGAATTGCAATAAATCTCAGGAAAAAACCTTTAAAAAGTTTTTTTTATAGGTTTGCAGCTACAGTTTCTTAATCATTTCGAATTTACAGGTATATAAGTTTGCAGCATAAAATAAAAGTTAGTTTGTCTTTGTCATATTTGAACAATTTCTTGAAAACCAATTACAAATTAATTCAAGATACCACTAAAAAAATTCATTTCCTGTATCTAAAACGAAATTCAGCTTCATTATATTATACTTGTACATGGTGCTAATGAATTGGAAGAAACAAGGATATAATCTCCCAAACTTGTAGAGAACAAAATCATTTGATGTCATTGATGTCACTATGAGGGGTTACTAGTTAGTACACAGCCCTCATTTTGACGAATGAGATCGCCTTTAATCTGGACTATCCAAAAAATTTCAAATGGACAATCCAAATCAACCCGATCTCATTTGGCAAGATCAGGAAGGCTTTTAAGGTTTTTATGAGGTGAAAAATTAAGAATTAGACTCTTTCCTCCTATCAATTGCCACTAATATGTGACTTTACCAAATCCAACAAGTGTCCTTTGGCACCCATCTGGTTCAGATGTAATTTAGTCCTCTTTGATTCCCAATGACCTAGTTGAGTCTGTCCCTTTCCCATAATATAGAAGTAAAATTATTTATAGATATAAAAATGATTAAGACACACTTCATGTTTGTATTCAATAAAATAACACACTCTACTATGTTTGTTCAAGTAATAAAAACATTTATTTATGAAAATTTTTTTCATGTAAATTGGCCAAAAACAAGTAGTATTCAACTTAAATGGACAAGAACCTTCCACATAGCAATTGGAATATGATCAGATAAAGCGCAAATGGAAAAATTCAAGGAAAACCCCGAAATAATTGGTGTAAAGTAAAATATGCACAGCAAGCAAGCAAGTATAATGCGATAAATCTTTAAAAAAAAAAAAAGAAGTATTATGCGATAAAAAATTTATATCTAATTATATCTCACCATGTATTAACATGAAATCTTATTTACCATAATATATTAGTCAGTAGCGTTCCATGTCAGTTTTCATTTAGAATTTCATTTCTTCAACTTGTAAAGTTTGCCTGGAAAATTTATATATAAAAAAAGGAATAATATTGTCATTGTTTCTGATAGCAATTTTAATGGCGTGATCTCTCAATGATCTTTTGTCTCCATAAGCTTTGAATATAACCGACGGTCGTGCTTCAGGCAGGCCGCCCGCTGGCGCCACCACTTGCGATAGTTTGTCTTCTTCATTAGTAATGGGACAACAAAGATATAAACTATAAAGGCACTCAAATAAAATAAAGGCATTCACATAAAATAAAGGTAGTATGACCTGTTTTCCACAAGGCAGCAAAAACATTATTGTATAGGAGGTAAAACTGGTCATCAATTTCAAGATAGCTAAACTAAACACAGGTTTGTATAGGAGTTAAATCAAGATTTTAGTACCATACCAAACAGGATTTGGTGTAGTGAAGCAGAAAGATGATAGAACGCGTAGGTTTTGTAAGGAGTGATTGCAAAACCCTCAGTTTCTTCCATCTCTTAATACTAGACTAGATGTACACGAATGGAGTAAATAATTTTATCTTTCATAATTTCGCATTTTATCATACAATCCTCCTATTATTTAAAATATCCAATTAACCTGTCTATGATTGCATGTAAAGCCGAAAATAGACAAAAAACAACTATAGTCACGGTGATCAACCTATATGCACGCTAGCTAGAAACGTAGAATATGTGAAAATATGGAATTGCCACTTATTCCCCTTATGGCTTCGCATTTGGCCACATAATCCCCCGTTAATTTATATAAAGTGGTTAGACACTTGTTGTACTTAAATATTAACTAATGCTTGCAGATACTTTTTTTCTTATTGGGGGTCAATGTTTCCACTTTACATGATGCTACAAGAGATTAAATGGATATTGTTGAACACAGTGGTAGAACCAAAAACTTTAGTTTAGGGGAGGCAAAAAATCCAACATATAGTAATAACACATATTGTAGCATATATATAAAGCATGGTAAATTTAAAATGAAAATTAAGGATTTCAATAATAAAAGACAAATTATAAACCAAACTACAAAATTTGGATTCCCTACCATTCTATTTCCTATCAATGCAGGAAATACCTACCTAATATACTAATATATTAATAATTCATATTATTGGCTTTGTTTATTTTTTTTGTACATTAATAGAAGCAATAATCATTACGTAATTCTAAAACAACAAACTCAAAATAAAAATAACTATTTCAAAAATAATAATACAATTTAAAATATAATACAAGAAAGTTTGAAGGAAATAAAAATACAATCTGGAGTTTGAGAACATTTGATGCTTGAAGCATAATAATGGAGCTTAGAAAGAGTCGAGCCTTGAGAAGCTAGATAAAAAGTTGTGACTTTGTATTTTTAAAATAATCCTCGTACATTCTTAATTCAAGTGAATTCTATTACCTTTTATTTCCTTTGTTTACTTTTATGTAGTGTTTTTTTAGTTGTTATATTTTCTGTTGTAAGCTGTGGATGAATTGAGCATTTAACAAATAGTTTGAACTCAACACATTAAGGGCTCGATTTGAGGGTGGATTTTTGACAAGTTTGAGTTCAAACAATATAATAAGAGGAGGAAATAATATAATATCGAGCCTATAATATCGAATTGAACTTGATCTCAAATTTAGAACTCGTATAGAATTCGAGTTCAAATTTAAATTTATCTAATATTTTGAATCGAACATAATAGGTCAAAAGTTCGATTCAATTCATTTATAAGTCCATTTGTACTAATGCTACACTAATACCAGAAGGAAATAAGAGTTTGTTGGGTATAATAGTCTTATAAAAAGAGTAATCAAAGGGGACAAGAAATAGATAAATGTATGAAGAGTAATTAAGAGGAACTAGACACAGATATGCATGTTGGGGGGGGGGGGAAGGGGAAGGGGAAGGAGAAGCCGAGAAGGAGATTAATCTATCATAGATAAAATGTCTTAGTCCCTTTAGGATTATTCCGAAAGTTTTGGGGGTTGTTGAGGTTAGGGGTGCAAACGAATCGAGCCGCTCGCGAGTGGCTCGATTCAAGCTTGACTCGAGCTCGAGCTGGTCGAGCCGGAGTCGAACTCGAGTTCGAGCTCAAAACATTAAGCTCGTTAGCTTGCGAGCTGGCTCGCGAGCTCGAGTATATATATATATATTTTTTATTTTTATTTTTAATAGTAAAATTACATAAATATCCTTAATATTTTATTATTTATTAAGAAAAAATATTATTTTATTTATTTTTTTAAAAATAAAATTTTTATTTTTTATTTTTTTCGAGCTCGAGTTCGCGTTCGATGAATTAAGTCAAGGCTCGACTCGATAAGGCCAAGCTCGACTCGACTCG